CACGCGATGCAAGGTTAGTTTTATTTCAAACATTATTCTATCAACACAGTCATTTACATCGACAGTCTGGTGTAATAATAGATTTGTTTCAGGTGTTTTGTGGAGTGGGTAAGACTGTTTTTAGTGGCAGGATAACTATGGCCATTGACATGCACTAGCCTAGCATCAGCCACCTCTGCAAATACAAGGACTGGATGGAATATTTTAAAAGTGTCTCCACACGTCTCCAACACTCTGGCTCACTAGGAAATGAGGTCCTATGTCCAAAATTCCAAACTGATAATAAAATTTAAGACAATAAACTAGGAGTACTGCTTATCTAGGTTAGTCTATAAGGCTAAGAGAAATTTATTAAGTACAGCTTCATAGTTCAGGCTTCTGGTTTATTTTGGGTTTAGTTTTAGGCTTGTTCCCAGTTTAATCACAGTTTCAATATAGCGTGTGCACAAGTGTGAATGGAAATTAAACTTTACCTCAAAAATGCAATATAAACAGGCTACATTATTAATAAGAGAGAGTAAATTCTAACAATTCTTCATCTGCAGTGTCTTGTCTTAAATGGATGACATTAAGCGTAGTTGCCCCCTGTCCCTGGTAGAGAAACACAGGGTTTAGTCGTGCACATAGCAGTGAATGGCTTCTGCACAGTTTCACCTGGTCCTCTGTCTTTTCACGTGTCCACCATACACTCACGTAGCTCAGCATTAGCAGTGTAAATATAGCACCATACACCATACATACTCCGGTTAATGTTAAGACTGCCTCCCCATGCCTGATGCTTGCACTGCCACGGCCATCCACTGTAGACTATTTAAATATAAGGTTGCAGTGTGTTTGTTTAAAGGGAAATTAGTTTTGTAATGTGACATGATTTGTGTGTACACGTTTTTGAATGCCGATGTGTGGTAAGTTTGATTTAGGATGCTGCTTGTGCTTGCTGTGAAAGAAATACAAATATACAGTAAAACATTAGCCACTCATGATAAATAATTAAGTCGGCAATGCATTTTGATTAACATATTTTAATACATTTTGCAATAACTTCTAATTTAAAGGCCCTGTACCTGATTTTTGTTCTAGCTGATGTGAATATGGTATAAAAGAAACTATTTTTGAAAACAAGGATAATGATGTTGAAATGTTGATGGAAGCAGCTACTCTCCGTGGAGCTCAGCAGCGGTTTTGAAAGTAGATTTTCCATTAATTTTTTCCATAGACTTTTAGAAAAATTTAAATATTAATAGTTCAAAGAGATCATGGAGGCTAACCAGCTAAGTGCTTACTAATTTCTACACAATACAGTTGTTTTAAGTCCAAAAAGCACATTTAAAATGCAGTTTATAACTTTTCAGAAACAAATTTGAGGTAAAATTATAGGTCTTATGGTCATTAGTTACCATATAGCTGATTGTCCCTGAGTAAGCTTTGAACTTTTAATTTTTTTCTTTTTTTTTTCAGGAAGTCTATGAGAAAAATTTAAGAGAAATTTAGTACTGGATATGTGGGCGTACCATCACATTATATTCAAAATTGTGAAGGAAGTTAAGAGATAGAGTTCCTCTATTGTGGAAGTCTGATACAGGACCTTTAAATGGTACTTAAACTCAAGTATGCTATTATAGATATCAATGATGTCACTATTTTATGATTGGAAGGACTTTTGGTTATTAGAAAAAATATAGCCTAACATTTTCATTTCAAATTACTACCTAATTTTTCACCTAAACTTTAAACATCTAAACTGCAGGCATTGTGGGCAGTGCCATAATATAAAACAGTACTGTATTTACTTGCAATACATCATCCAGCTTTTTCAGTTCTGATAGTATTGAAAATATATGCAGTTACCTGATATTAACCAGTAGCACTACTCACTTTCTTACTTATCTCATACAGTTATACTTATATATTTATTTCCTTAAAACATAGTTAAGTTATTACACAAGAGATCCAGTTGTGTACAGCTTTGCCTAAATAAAAGTTCAAACATTTATGAGACGTTTATGAGACATACATCAGCCTGTAAAGTGGTAGTTTTCAGATTCTAAAATGTGATGGTGATTTCTCTATTGATTACATCGTACTTCACCATGAAATACCCAAAAGGTAAAGTCACAAATGTTGACCCTGGTATTTTCAATTATTGTCTAAACCCAAAAAATGACTAAAGGTGCAGTAAATTTTGGTTACCTTCTTGTTTCTATGGAGATGTCACTGCTCTGCCTGGAATGTTTCACAGCTCTACTTTACATTTATCCAATTACAGGTGGTTTTATAGCTCAAAAATACTTAGAAAAACAGGCATTCTGACTGTGAGCGGGTTCCTCTCCACAGATCTGACCCATAACTTGGTCTGGCTTGGTCTCCATGAAGATAGAAAGGTTTAATGCCATACTGTGAAACATGCCAGACAAAGCAATAACATCTCCATGGAGAAAACACCCTCCACCGGAAAAGTTTCTAAGTGCACCATTAATTTTCACAGCCCCCCCATCTGTATTAATTAATATTGACATTTAGTATGTCATCTGAAACTCAGCAAATACTCTTATTACTTCCAATTAAAAGCCAAAACGTTTAAAGAACTCCGACTTAATTGGTATCATTTAACAGACACCCCTGTTCCATCTAAATTATCAGTATTGGCACAGATATTCAATGCCAGTATCAGTATCAGTGCATCCCTAATTACTGGTCATTTACACCAGTCATCTTGTCTAATGATTGGCATTAGCACTAAATAACACTTCTCATTTTCTGGCTCATGACTATGTCCTTTTCAGAGTTATCTGGTTTCAATTTCCCTACCGCTCCCAATGGACACCTAATCTACCCAGTGATATACAAATACACCACTAAACTCTGTGTCAGCAATGCACAGTAACAGTGTGTCTGTAGATGCACAAAGGCTTTACTAATATTATTCAACTAAATAATGTGTGTTTTTGTAATAAAGGTACAGTTAAAGGTGCATTGTGTAATTTTTCTGGTGGAGCGTCCGTCAAATGCTTTGTTTTGGAATGTTTCACAGTATAATATTAAACCTTTCTACCTTCACGGAGACCAAACAAAACAGTTACATGCCCGATCTGTGGAGAGGCAAGCCCGCACACAGCCAGAATGTCTGTTTTTCTAGGTATTTTTGAGCTATAAAACCAGCTGTAATTTAATAAATGTAAGTTAGATCTGTCTAATGTCATACCATGTAACATTGGAAGCAGAGCAATGACATATCCGTAGAAACAACAACAAGTAGTAATGGACCCACAACCAAAAAGTGACATAATGCGCCTTTAAGTATATATTTAGTGTATCTACAGGATATGGTATACGTTCTAAACCTGAGAGCACATAATAGTAAAATGAGATGAACAATATGCAAAGTGGCACCTGGATGTGGAGCTCTGTAGATTGAGTTCTCAGAAGGAAGGCAGGTCAGAGAATACATAGAATTGGCTTTTAAAATGGCAATATGCAAATATTCTTCACTCATTTTATGGTCAAATATTTCCTGTTTCTATGCACATGCAACAAAAACTGACCAAAACTAGTTCAGTGTCCTTTCTCTTAGCAAAATTAAAGAAGAAATATTATGTCTTGAAGGTGCAGTGTAACTTTTCTGGTGAATGGTCTGAAAAAACTGAATGAACCTTTCTATCCACACGGAGACCAAGTTGCAGGTCAGATCCATGCAGAGACGACCCCCGCTCACAGTCAGAATGCCTGTTTTTCTGGATTTTTTGAGCAGTAAATCCACCTGTAAATCAGTAAACGTAAAGTAAAGTTGTTTAATGTCATACTGTGGAACATTCCAGGCAGAGCAATGACACAGAAAATTTACGCAATGCACCTTTAACTTATAACATAGGTAGATATTTCTTTTCCATTGAAAAAAATATGAATCTAAAATGACTAAACTAACGGGCCACATTCCAAGGCATTTTGTGGATTTTCATTATGCTGTTTTTATTATTGAAAAGTGTCTGTGTGACATTTAAGAAACCTACATGTATTCAAAAAATCTGAACTTAGAGCAGAGCAGTGTGTCTTCCCAAATGCAAAACAACACAGGATTTTTTAAACATGAATCAGTCAATATACAACTTTACAAGATAATGAAGAAACACTGTTATAATATGTATGTATATATATAAATGTTTACAGAACTACCTTTCATTTATTTCATTTATTTAATTGCAGGTGGTTTTACTGCTCAAAAATACAAAGAAAAACAGACATTAACAAGATAACTTTACAACATTACAAGATAACTTTACAGGAGTCATATGGGTTATAAAATCTTAAGTGGTTTTTATTTTATACATCTAACAACCTATAACTTGGTTTGGTTTACAACTTTACAAGATAACTTTACAACTTTACAATATAACTTTACAGGACTCATATGGGTTATAAAATGTTAATTGGTTTACATTTTACACACCTAACAACCTATAACTTGGTTTGGTTTACAACTTTACAAGATAACTTTACAACTTTACAAGATAACTTTACAGGAGTTAAGCAGGTTATAAAATGTTAATTAGTTTACATTTTACACAGCTAACAGCCTATAACTTGGTTTGGTTTACAACTTTACAAGATAACTTTACAGAAGTCATACGGGTTATAAAATGTGAATTGGTTTAGATTTTACACACCTAACAACCTATTACTTGGTCTGGTCTAGTCTCCATGAAGATAGAAAGGTTTAATACCATACTGTGAAACATTCCAGACAAAGCAATAACATCTCCATGGAGAAAAGCATTCGATGGACCCTCCACCAGTAAAGTTACACAATGCACCTTTAATATGACAAATTATATGGATTTTCTATTTGGAAGTATCATCCAATAACAGTGAATCACCAATAAAGTTATATTTCCAGTCCCATGCCCTCCATATGAAATTATTCAAATCTTAAAAACCATGAACCCAACCTATGTTATGTACATATACACAGTCCCCACATATCTAACCCTGTGCTTCCTTTATAGCCGCTGGTCAAACAGGACAGCTTGGACACCTACAACGAGCGGGACCCCTTTAAAAATGATGACGCCCGTGATGAAGAAGAGGACCCCGAGGACACAGACAGTGGGATAGAGGGAGAGGTGGACCCTTTGGAGAGAGACGTGATCATCCAGCCCCCTCCTCCCCCTCCTCCGCTCAGACCTCCCACAGACAGAATCAACTTCCCCAAAGGACTGCCCTGGGCCCCCAAAGTCAGGTAAACGTGTGTGGTTCTAACAAAATCTTAACACTGGCTTTATTTACATACACTTTTCAACTCCGTGATCTGTTATAATGTTATTTCTTCATCAATAACATACCCGGAGTTGTGTTTTGTTTCATTAACACAAAACTAAATATTTAAGCTGAGCTCTTCTGTCAAACTGAAAACACACTTCACCAGAACAGAGCATTTTGAGCTCTGAAGATGTAGAGAGACTATTAATAAAGGGTTACTCAAACATGTGTGAATGAAACAAAACTCAACTCAGAGTATGTTTTTACAAGCCTGATTCATCAGCTGGTTTCACTTCGTGGAAACCGTCTGACCTCGCAGCATTAGGATTTGGTCTATACATGAATGCATGTGTCCCAGCACGACTTCAGTAAACTACAAAGCCGCACCACCCGCTGCGCACGCAAACACGCACGGAGCAGACAGTGACCGCGCAGCGAAAAACACCCGCAACCACACTCATCACTTCACGTGGACGAGGAACGGAACAGAGGAATGAACCGAAAAAGCGAGTGCAATGTGCCACTTCTAGTCACAACTGAACAACTGAGTCACTGCGAACACGCCAACAATCCAGCGGTCCCAGACAGCACCCTCCCTACACGCCACAATTGAACAAAGCTGAGAGTCACCGTGAATGCCACAAACAAAAAGTCCCACTGAGCCATCTGTTGAGTTTTGTCTAAAGTCCAGTGCGGTTTATTTGTGAAAAAAGTTAGAAAATATACCATTTAATGACAGTGCGCCTTATAATCGAGAGCGCCTAATAGCCTGGAAAATACGGTAGTCGCTGGAGAGAAATTAAATTGAGCAGAGGCACTAGGTGGCATCAGCCTTGCTATCTTTTTGATGAGGTAACATTAAAGATCACAAAAGTAAATGTTGCACTTTATAAGACCTTTAAATGCAATACAATACAAGACTCCTGTACATTTCAGAACATATTTGTAGAGGTCTAACATTTTTTATCTAAGTAATTGCTTTATTTGTGATTGGATAATTGCAGCAACTAAAATTGCAGTTTCGATTCGATTGCATTATATTGTGCAATACTAAAATCAATACACTTATAGAAAGTGACACAGCAGCGTTCTGTATTACAGCTTTGTAAATACAACTACAGAACATGTAACTGAAAAATAAACACAGCGAGCAGTGCTTCAGAAATACTTTGCATTTAATTTGTACTGACTCATAAATAAATGGATGCAGTAAAATGGTTGCAGCTTGTTTCCTCTCCTCATTTGTCTGTCTGTGATTTGTGGTTGATTAAAACTCCAGGAGGACCTCAGTCTGCTCCTGAGTGATTACAGCGATGGTGTGATAGACTGTGTGTTACAGCCTCATTCAGATGCAGCTTTTATCAGCGCTGCCTCTAAATGAATCTAAAGTGGTTTTGTCTTCACAGGGAGAAAGACATCGAGCATTTTCTAGAGACAAGCAGAAACAAGTTCATTGGGTTTACTCTTGGAAAGTAAGTATTTTAACACCAAACAAAGGCTTATCACAGCTGCTGTGTGAGTGGGACTCCTTAACCCTGATCTTGTTGTTTTATTACCAAAACACTTCTCAAAACAATGTGCTATTTAAACTCTATTATACCCATAAACTGCATAAATAACATTTTAAAAAGCTGTGAATACAGTGCCTGAGTGGTAACCATGGACAGCAAGATAGATTCTCGGGAAATTTGTGAGTTCACAAACTGAGCTTAATTGGGGGTGGACCAATCACAGAGCAGCATTTAAGGCTTGTGTGGAAGTCAAAGGTGAAACGTTCAAACTAACCAAAACAAACATGGCAACATGTCAATACACACTATTTTGTGAAAACGTGCAGAAGGTGAGCTCTTTGTGCAGTTGTGGACAGGGAAGATGTCTGGTGTTTGTGCTTTGGATTTAAGTAAGGTTTGATTTTTTTTTTTGGCATGTTCCCCTGTTGTGATGCCTCAACCAATCAGATTCCATCCATCTCAGACTCCTAATGTGTAGAACTAAATTCAGAGTGACACACAGATCGATCTGTCATGATCCAAGTTCCCTCAGTGGTTGAAATGGAACTAAACACCAAAACAGCAGTTTGCCGCTGAACTGTGCAGGGTGTTTTAAAAGCGTTCTTTACTGTTATCAGCAGAGAATTTTAACAGTGCAGAGTAGGTTCATTTGCAGCTATTTTGTTCGAAACAATAAAAAATCGAATATGTAATGCCCACTGGTTAAACTCCACCTCTTTTGTTAAGGGGTCTGTGAAGGACAGGGCGCCTTTGGGTACTGAACAAGTTTATTTTCACAAAGCATGGAGTGAATGAATAATACACTGTAACTTTAGATTTTTCTTGAATGGTGCAATATAAACCCATTTAATTTATAATTAGGCTGTACTTCCATTCAGTTTTACATCATGTACTACAGTATATATTTTGTGTTGCAGTGACACAGAGACCCTTGTGGGCCTTCCCAGACCGATCCATGAGAGTGTGAAGACTCTGAAACAGGTGAGCAGAGAAATCATCTGTATACAGAACAGAATTACTATCATGGTGACGCCGTTAAATAATAATATTATATTTTACTTAAAATTTGAGTTGAGATGGAGGCTTTAGTAGGAGACAGATTAAACACTAATCACCCTAGTAATAATGAAGTTGTACTTTCTTACTTCAGCACAAATACATTTCCATCTCTGAGGTTCAAATAAAGAGGGAGGAGGAACTTCAACAATGTCCAATGACTATGGTGAGTAAGACAAATTACTATAACATTACTACTATTTAGCATAAAAAAAATTATATTTCTGTATGTATTATTCAGTGACCAATGGTTTAGTTAGATTTTTTTTGGTTCATCATAAACTTTTTGTTAGTGTTTACTAATGTGTGCATTGTGTCACCTTGGTAACTGCTATTGCGACAATAGAGAACATGAATTCACTCCAAAATATCAATTAAAACATTTTATCTTCAAATTTGAACTCATATTTCCAGATTTAAAAAAAGTCCAAGGTGTCCAGATGACTACTTGAAACTTGACTGGTTGTAATAATATTATGTTTTATTTATTTATTTATTTATTTTTCCTAACAGGGTGAAGAGGACATAGAGGAAACGCCAGCAGAGATTCTATATTTGGGCATGCTTCCTAACCTCTCCCAATATGTGGTGAGGAGCTAAATGCTGTGTCAATATTACAAACCAATATACGTCTATGAGAAACTGACCTTTTCTGTCAGAGTCTTTTAGTGTGTGTTCAGCTGTGTGTGAGGTATTGCCTGCTAAACTGCCCTGTGGTATAGACATAAAGCAGATCGACTTGTGTTGATGTAAAATCAATGTTATTGCATTATTAGTTGTGCAATATTTTACACAACAGCTGGACTAGAAGGTCTGGACATATGAAAAATTATATTTACAGTGGATACCATGTGAAAAAAAAAATAGTTTAGGGTTTAAAAGTGAGAGATGTGTACATTTGTATTATATTGCAATTTTAAGACATTTCTGCACTTTTGTTTTTAATTTTGTTATAATTTATTTGTTTGATGCATGCAAGACATTTACAGGAATTTCTTAGTACATTTTTATATATCTATCCATTAATATTAATATTGTTATTGGTAAAGATTATGTTGTACCATAGATGTAATGCAGTGGCTCTCAAACTTTTCAAAGAAAAGAACTGACTTTCAGAGGACCTCCAGATCTACACCAAGTATAACAAGACTATTCCTATTCTAGGGCTAAACCAGATCTAAAAGATGAAATAAAATTAAATAAAATAAGATTAGAGAACCTTTATTTGTCCCACAGTGGGGAAATTCAAGAACAGCAAGAGAATAGAAATAGACACTCAAAAGTCAAGATAAACTACAGCATTATTATGTGCAAGTGGACTAAGTCATTTCAACTCTAGTTCTCAGCAAGAAATTATCCAACGGAGGAAAAACAAGTGTATAAAATGAACTCTAAATGAGGCAAACCTGCAAACTGAAGAGCTGTTGAAGGACAGCTTCAGTTTGGAAAACAATGATCTCATGTCTTCTTCATGTGTTTGTATCAGATTGCTCTCCTGAAGCTGCTGCTGGCCGCTGCTCCGACCTCCAAAGCCAAAACTGACTCCATCAACATCCTGGCCGACGTGCTGCCCGAGGAGATGCCGTGAGTAGATCTGTCCACATTATCTCTGTTATGGTTTAATATTAGAAATAAGGAGTATTGTAATGGGTTTCATATTGGTATCATTTTTGTAGTGTGTATCTATATGTGTTTCCTTCACTTTAATTTGAATGCACATTTTGAAGTATGGATGCACCGATCTGATACTGGTATCGAATATCTGCGCCGATACTGACAAATTTGCTGGATCTCATATTGGCTTCCAAATATTGGGAAATAAGACAAGACTGTTTACTGGTCGTAATCGGCCAAAAAATATCATAATATTGGAATTTTTATTTGTACAAACTTATTCTGTAATTACATCATTTGTTATTTATAATAGATACACAACATTTGGATCAGTTTTGTCTAATTTATTTTAGTTTATTGGCAGATATTGTTACTATATTACTGAAACCGGTATCAGAACTTAAAAAGCTGGATCGGTGCATGCCTATTTTGAAGTGTCACAGTGTGTGCTTGTTGTGCTCTCATAAATGATAGAAAATGTGTGCAGTGTGTGAAGAAAAAACAACAAAAACTATAATATCAATACACACACATAATATCAATATTTCTCATTCTTAAATAAATATATTAAAATCTTTATGCTTTACTTTACTATGCTGTTAGAAACACGTTTTCCTTTCGTTTGAAGATTAAATGTGAGTTTTTAGTCCCTGGCTGTGTCTGGAGCTGTTTGCTGTCTCTCTGTAGTCTGTGTAGTTTGAGCGTTGCCAGTTTTGTTTGGCATAAATACACCATCATCTGCTCCAGAGTGTGACAGACAAATGCCCACTTGTTTAGTAATGAGAATAAACAGCCTGTGAATTATTCATTCAAAGCAGGTGACAGGATTTCACGTTTTTTTTCTCATATTTACTTCGTTTGATGGGCTAAACTTTGATAATAGTTTTTAAATCAGAAAAACTTTACAGCCGAAAAAACAAAACAAAAACAAAAACATAAATCACCCCTGACATCTTAGAAACATCTGTACTTGACATAACACCCACTTCATCACTTTAAATTACTTTCTAAATAATCTTTTTCTTACTCCGAAATTCAACTCAGCTGTGCACAAACATGTATTCTATATGAGAATGAGAAATAATAAAAGGTATTAACATAAGTGTAAGCATGTATCATAAGATTACACCTTTATCTCCACTTTAAATCTAAAAACTATATAAAAAGTTTAATGCTCGAATACAAAGTGCGTCCTGTGGTGCAACATGAAAATTCACATATTTAAAAAGACTATTACACAAAAATTTGAAGGAGCTCAGCTGACATTTATACACCTTTTTTTTCCTCAAAAACCTTGATAAATTATTTGGGTGATTATGTTATGAGGGTAATGATTTTTTAGAAGGTCCTATATTACGCAAAATTGACTCTTGTGAGCTTTAAGCCATGTTAAAATGTTGTTACCTCCTCAAAAACAGACCTGGAGTTGTGTTTTGTTTCATTCACACATGTTTGAGTAACCCTTTTTAATGACTTCTACATCGTCTAAGCTCAAAATGCTCCTGTGGTGTAATGAATTTTAATAGGTTGTTTATTTTATGTTTTAAGATTTTAATGAGAATAAGTGACTGTTAGCTTTGAGACACAGTGAGTTAACTACTTCTGTGCACAGCCTATTGCGTAGTCTAACCCTCATAATGTGTTTTTGTATTCTTTCCTTCAGCATCACCGTCCTTCAGAGCATGAAGCTGGGGATTGACGTGAACAGACACAAAGAAATCATCGTGAAGGCCATCTCTGCTCTGCTGCTGCTGCTGCTCAAACACTTTAAACTCAACCACATCTACCAGGTTAGACTCATTACACTCACAACAAAACAACTAGAACAAGAAGGGCAATAACATCTCTCCCCTTGGTATAATCTCTTTATTCCGTCTTTAAATCCTCGATCTCGGGAATCGTTGCCAGCACAGAATGTATGGCTCTGATTGGCTGGTGTCTGGACTCACACTTCCGGGATTTTTGCGAACTGTCGAGTGTATTTCAGTTCCTGAGAAAAATAAAATTGAGCGGAGGCACTAGGTAGCACCAGCCTGGCTAGGAATATTCCACAGTGTGACATTAAACTTATCTAACTCCATGGAGACAAACAATAAAGCGAGTTACAGGTCAGATCTGTGCAGAGGCAGGCCCTCACAACTCACAACGCATTTTTCAAGATATTTTTTTAGCAATAAAAACAACTGTAATTGAATAAATGCTGCGTAGATGCTTAATGCCACTCTGTGTAACATCCAAGGCATGTAGGTGGCAGAAAAGTTACACAGTGCACCTTTAATCTGAGCTGGAGGATAGGTCAGAGTCCTGTAGTAGAATTTGCTGTTTAACTGTCAGATTGCAGATTTGTTGACCTGGTTTATGGTTGATATCTCTGTAATTATACTGGGCTACTATCTGCATGAAACAAAAACTCAACATAAACTTTAACGTCTTCACCCTCAGCATAAATGGACAAAAGTGAAATTATTTTTACAGGAGCTTCAGAAAGTGGAGCCATTATTCTACTACAGAGACTTCATTGTTATCAGTTGATACAGTATCGATATCGTGGGCTGCTGGCTGCTGTATCGATATATCACCAAGAGTATTTTTTGGTATATTTTACTAAATTATTTTGTTACAGCGCTACAGTTTTGTCATTTGTTTAGAGGAAGGAAACTCTTTTATGCGACACATTTGACATTTTCACTTTTTTGATGATTAAAATTGGCATTTTTCATATTAACTTTGCACAAGAAGTGGTTTAACAAAAACTTTTAGTATCACAGCCACGATTTTATTGAACCGTATTGAATCAGTTTGAAATATATCGAATCTAAAGCTCACTGCATCGAGGTATGTATCGTATCAACAACTTCTTAATGATATGCAGCCCTCAAAATTAGAGCTCAGTGAGTTTTACTTTTTGATACAAGTCACTGGCATGTCCTTTCTTGTTTACTATTTGGCTTTTGTGGTTTCCAATGCTTTGGATGTGGTTTGAAGTCATCCCTCGCCTAGATTCCTTATACAGTATATTGCTGACTGCTTATAAAACGATTTGTGTTTAAAATAGTCTATTAGACATAATATGTGAGATGCTTAACACCATCACTGAACAGTTAGACTTTTAAAACGATTTTAAAACTTTACTGCTCACTGTTCAGGTAAATTGAACCACATTTATATAGACCATTTTAAGTATAGATGTGAAACAGCATCAGACTGCACTTTACAAAACCATAACCATTAACATTTTATGATATTTCTTATGCCCAGTTTCTCTGCAGAGGTGTAGGAAATGGTGGTAACACTTTAAAATAAGGTTCCTTAATCTTAAAATAAGCCTAAAATAAATATACGGCAAATAATGATGCACGATTCAGCATTTGGGCTTCAGAATTTCTTCAACTCAGTGAATCTCCTGTAGAGTTATATAAGGCCTCTGCCCTCCATCTGAAAGGACCTGTTCAGAACCTTTTCATTTATTTGATTTCTCATCTAGCTCCATTCTGGTCTGTTGAGCTCAAATCCACTGCTCCCCCACTCACCTCCACCTGCCTCCCCCATCAGCCTTACATTCAGTCTCTTCTCCACCCCCAACTCTGCTCCTGCGTGTAGCTCCTCCTCCTCCTGTACCTGCTCAAAAACCTTAATAATAGAAAATAAAAATGAGGCTTGAATGGTGTTAACATGAGCAAAAATCTGATCTGTCATCTATTCTAGACACACAGTATGTATCTAAATGGAAACACAGTAAAAAAAAACATGTATTTAAAGCACCATTATGTTATTTTCTGGGCTAATCTCATAATGTTGCCTCATTACAAACATACCTGGAGTTGGATTTTGTTTCATTCACCCATGTTTAACTCACAAACCCTGTATAGTTGTGTGTTTTTAAACTCCATACACCTTCACTAGAATCATTTGGATAATTTCAGCTCTGGAATCGCCAATATCTACATAAAATAAACTAAAATAAAATAGAAAAATGATGTATTTGTTTAAAAATAAAGAAAGGAATTGCTGTTCTCTGCTCAATAGATCTACATTGCATAGATTTTCTCCTTCCACAACCAGCGTGCCCTCTAGTGGTATATCATAAAACAAAATATGCTGCAGTCAAAAAGAAAGTATCCACGAAAATGCTTGGATATGATCATTTCTGTTGCTAGGAAGGTCCATTTCTGGCGTTTCTGTATCATGATGTGGTGCCCTCTGCTGGTTTCAAATGAGATGACACATGTTAAATGTAAAATCTGTACTAAATTAAATAGTTTTAAAATATTTGCAGTTTGTGTAATCAAAATGCAACAGCAAAAATGGTTCTAATATGTGTTGGTGTGCAGTTTCTTCTCTGTATTTTAATCTTCTGAGAGTGGAGGATTTGCTGGGCTGTCTTATAAGAATGGAAATACTTTAAGGATTAAAGAATATGAGATTATTTTCACATGTTCTGTCAAGGATCCTGTCATTTCTGCCTTCTCTCTGCATCCTGCAATACTGTTACAGAGAAGCTTAAACTCTTACAAACTCAGGATATGCCATTTGTGTCATTCAACTTTTGTAAATTATTATAACCAGTACTTTAAGATAAATAAACTGTTTTTTTTTTTAATCTACTAACCTAAATAGTATTACAATTGTTAAAATGTTGTTTTAAAGATGCATTTGAGCAATAAAAACATCTGTAATTGAATAATTCAAGGTAGACATGTTTAATGCCATTCTGTCCAACATTTAATGATTATGCATCAGTTTTATATAGCACATTTTTGGACACTCAAAGACGCTTTACAGAACATTATTCATTCACTTCATACCCAGTGGTGGTAAACTACTATTGCAGCCACAGCCAATCTGCGCCATCGGCCCCTCCGACCACCACCTTCATACTAGACAATGAGGGTGAAGTGCCTTGCCTAAGGACACAACAACAGTTTTTACAACTGGGCCCCCCTGTGGCACCTGATTTTCCCAGTGGTCTCCCATCCAAGTACTAACCAGGCCCGACCCTGCTTAGCATCTTAAATCTGACAGGATCAGGCTTTGACAAGCTGATATAAGTTGTTGCCATTTCAACAAGGCAATGACATCTCCATAGTGACCTTCTATTAGGAAAGTTACATGAACAGATTTTTTTTAAACTTGTGAAGCGTAATTTTATTTAACACATACATAAGACTTGTTTTCCCTTTTGTTTAGTCTTTAATTTATACTTCTTTCTTTCTTTAACATACCAAACTGGACACAGATGGTATAATAGTGAAAAGCACTTTTAAGAGACTTCAGTTTCAGTTTCCTGCAAGAGCAGAATTGGAAAAGCTCATTTATGTAATTAAGAAAGATGCTACTAGTATATTTGAAATGGAAGAAATCTGTCTGTATACAGTAGAGATGCAACAATATCTGAAATATCGTGATATTGTATCGTCTAATTTCTCACAATAACATCGTGGACCATCACAGTATATCGAATTACAAGTTTCTTTGCTTAAATTAAGAGTTATGGTGCAGCAATAGCTAAAAAAAAGACAGAGGGAACTACATAGACCATGATCCTTTGCTCCATTTCAGTGCAGACTACAGGAAGAAATAACAGTTCTAAGCACTTTTAAGTCTTAGTTCTTTAAGATGTATATCATGAAAATATTGTACCGTGAGATTTGGATATTGTTACATCCCCAATCGTGAGCCTCCCCACCATATCATGAGCTTTCCCACGATATCGCAATAAATATCGTACCACGAGGATCATACTGTGACGATATCGTATCATGAACTTTGATATTGTTATACACCTAGTAAACAGTCATATTTGTTCTTTCCAAATTTAAAAGTAAAAAAGGAAAGTTACATGGTGCTCTTTTAACAATGGTGTTTTAGCTTAAAGTGTTACTCAAATGTAACTATAGTGTGATGTTACCTTTCAGTAAAGCTTTCATTGAATTCATTATCACCGCCCATGTTAATGTTTTTCTTTCTGTTTTTCTGTTTAACAGTTTGAGATCGTCTCCCAGCACCTGGTGTTTGCCAACTGCATCCCCCTCATCCTCAAGTTCTTCAACCAGAACATCATGTCCTACATCAGTGCCAAAAACAGGTGAGTTCAGTTCACCAGGATTCACTATTAAAAGGTTAATATGAGTATAACACATTTTATTTATTACACACCTCTCCAGACCTTAATTTTATACTTTTATATAAATACATTGCATTTTTCACACACAATTACAGATTCCTTAGACTTTATTTGTGGGTTTCAGCTTTTTTGAGGACTTTTCACCACTCAAAATAAATGGTGTTTTGGTATTTTGTTTTAAATTGATAATCTTAATTGTTATTATTCTGAAACGCTTGTATTTACCCACATGGGAAATCGCTCAAATACTTGGTAAAATGTGTATAAAGGTATCTAGTGTGATGACTCAGTAGTTTGACCGCTCGTCCACCAACCTGAAGGTCAGTGGTTTGAACCTCGCTCAGAGCAGTGCATACTGTCATTGTGTCCTTGGGCAAGACACTTCATCCAGTTTGCCTCTAGTGTCGATGTACGCTGGTGTATGAATGAATTAATTTGTTGTTTGTGTCAGCGCCACATTGGAGACATTTGGTAATGGATGAATAAATACTTAGAAAACTAAAGCATCAGTAAACATTATGAAGAGATAGATTGACAGATAGCAAAGGACAAATTCAAGTAGGATGATACTTTGTGTAGAGGTTAATTTTGACAGTGTGAAAGTAATTATTCCATGTATCATTTGTTCATTTGTTTTTCAAAATAAAACCAAAATCAAGAAAACAAAAAAAACAACTATTTTCTTCATTATTTGTCCCCAAAACCAAAATGAAAAAAATCGATAACGATTCATTTTTTCAGTTGATCACCACTGAGACCAAGACCAGACCAGGACCAGACCAGGACTGAGAGCAGGACTGAGAGCAGGACTGAGACCGGGACTGAGACCGGGACTGAGACCGGGACTGAGACAGGGACTCAGACCAGGACCAGACCCGGGACTCAGAACGGGACCAGACCAGGACTTAGACTGGTTTAGTCCTGTTTTAGTCCTTGTTTAGACCTGGTTTAGACCTGTTTTAGTCCTGGTTCAATCCTGGTTTAATCCTGGTTCAGTCCATATACAGCGCAAAAATCCAGCATCGCAGTTTAAGTCATGGAAATGTTTTTTTCTTTATTCATTTAAACACAAAATCAAAAACTGAAAAGAAAAAAAAAATCGTTATCCATTTCTTCATTTTGGTTTTAGAGATGAACAATGAAGAAAATAGTTGTTTTTACATTTTCTTATTTCTGGTTTTATTTTGAAAAACAAATGAATGAATGATACACAGATTATAATTGTTTGAAATAATCAGAATTTCATTTATGAACCAAGTAATTGTAATCAAGCAGCCCTGTGCACGGTTTAATAATCAAAAGTTTAATCCCACTTTAAGGTTAAGAGATGGCAGACTTTAAACATATTTTCCTATATTTTGCTTTTTAGTATTTGTGTACTAAACTAAGAGAGACACATAATCCCCTAGAAAGAGAATTTTAAGTTGGTCTGTACTTTCTTTACAGGTTAATTTTGCCAGTGTAAAAGTTTGACATGATTGTGATTTCAATCGTGAACCAAATAATCGTAAAACTAATAATCCCACTTTGAGGTCAAGAGATTTTTGAACAGATTTATATTTTTCTTTTCAGTATCTGTGTACTGGACTTCCCTCACTGTGTGGTGCATGAGATGCCTGAGCTCACAGCCGAGAGCCTGGTGAGTCAAACACACTGGAGGTTTATGACTGATCGCCCTAAAGGTTAAAACTCACTGCGTTCTACTATGTACAGTATGTAAAGTAGTGCCAGTGGTGGAAGAAGTACTCAGTTTTGTTACTTAAGTTTAAGTACAGATACTAGAGCAAAAGTACTCAAGTAAAAGTATTAAAGTACCTGTGCAGAAAGAATAAAAACGTGGCTGTTTGCTGCAGGTGATCCAATCAGTGGGAGCAGGTAGAGCGTGCTCTTGGAAAAAGGATCAAAACTAAAACATAACAGACTCTGGGCACTCCAAATAAGTAGAGCAATTTTTTACTTTTTCTACTTCTTTGGAGTGCCTGGAGTCCATTGTGTTTTTATTAAAGTACCTGTTTAAAAATCTACTTAAAGACCAGTAAGGGAAGAGTTGTACAGTACTGTTTATCAAATATTTTTGATAGAAAGACTTCAAAAGGAAAAAAATTATGTGTTTTGGCAGAAGTGGATCCAATACATACTGTAGCTGTTTTGAGATTTGATTTGATCTTTTGTCTAACAGAAAGGGAAGTAAGGAGACAAGACAGGGTTTTAAAATATTGTTTCCATTTGCCCTTTTGTTTTTGTCCTTTTGTGTATTTGGTGAATAATAAAAAAAAAATACTGTACCATCTACTTGGAATTATATGACTTGAATGAATGAATGAATGTGTTTGTAGACAGATGTTTTATTTTTTTTGACAAAATTGTGCTCCCAAAGTACTGTAAATGCCTTGTACAAGTTCATTAATTTAAAAAAATATATACTTAAAGAGTAAAAAGTAAAAGTATTTTGTGCATATTTTGTCGTCTTATAAGGCTTCAAATGTATAGAATTTTCTTCAACAGAAACTCTTTATTTTTATTTTTCTAGCTGTTTTTGACTTGTAGATTTTTGTTTGCTCAAACTATGTTAAAAATAAACCCTCAACCTCCTCAGATAATAATAAAAAAATACTTTTACTTTTCAATCCTGTTCAGAAATGTTGTGGAGTAGAAAGTATAGACACCTGCTCTCAAATGTAGTGAAGTAAAAGTTAAATTATACACTTTACACACAAATTTACAAAGTACAGATACCTCAGTTTTTACTTAAGTACAGTACTTTAATACTTTTACTTCCACCACTGGGTTTATGACTAATCACAGTCACTTCAGGCTGGTTTGACCTTGTGTTTCTTCTGTGTGTGTTACAGGAAGCAGGAGACACCAATCAGTTTTGTTGGAGGAATTTGTTTTCATGTATAAATCTGTTGAGAATATTGAACAAACTGACCAAGTGGAAGCACTCCAGGACCATGGTTAGTGATGTGTGCCATTATAAAACTATGGGACTGTGAAACTATACTTCTGGACCTAATGCACTTCAAGCCTCATTCACTTTGATGGTGTTACGGTGGTTTGAACAATGCTGTTTTAAAATGTTTGGTTGCATAAAAAGTGTACTCTTGATTTCCCCGAGCGATAATTTAATACATAATTTATTATCTATTTATTTATTTATTTATCGAGGCCTCATTTTTTAAGGGCACTATTTTTCTGTCATAATGTTTTTCCTGGAGTTGTGTTTTGTTTCATTCACACATGTTTAACACACAAACCCTGAATATTTAGAATATAAGGACGTGCTCCACTGTAGTAGACTAAACAGGAAGGCAAAGACAAGGTATAAAAATAAGTTTAAATGTAATAAAGTACAAAAAAAAAAAAAAAGTAATTTAACAAAGGTTCAAATTAGTTAAATCATGAACAAAAAAATCCCCGGAAGAGCTGGAGGAAGTGTGCGTGGAAAGGGAAGTCTGGGAGTCCCTGCTTAGACTGCTGCCTCCACAACCCGGCCCCGGATAAAACGGAAGAAAATGGATGGATGAACAAAAAAAAAAGCTGGGCCAAACTTGGGTAACTTAAATCAAACTGAACAGAACAAAACGAACCCAACCAGACAAAGGAATGGGCGTTTAAATACATGAGGACCAAATAAAACTGAACTCACAAGTGGACAAACTAAATAGTGCTCTCCCTTTGTTCAGCGTTGATGGTCTCTGCTGAGGGTCCTCCGTCTGGCCACACAAAAAAAGAACAAGTGTAGTAAATAAGTCAGACTAACGTGTGCACCCAAATTAGAATATGAGTCTAAATCGAGGAATTAAATTATGTGTGATGTAATTAACTTAATGTAAATGAAATGAAATGAAATAATACTAACTCTGTGGAGTGGTGGCAGAGGGATCCACCACATACACTTCGTTTTTAAACTCCATACACCTTCACTAGAATCATTAGGAAAAGTTCAGCCCTGGAATTGTTAATCTCTGCTGAACCAAAAGTGAAAGAGTATTTTGAGCATTGAAGATGTAGACAGACTAATAACAAAAATTTACTCAACCATGTGCAAATGAAAACACAACTCCAGGTATGTTTTTGATGAGGTAACAACATTCTAGCATTTCTTAAAAGAGTCAATTTTGTGCAGTATAGTTGAACTAGTCTAAGGTGTGATATTGTGATTCTTTTCTCAGATGCTTGTAGTTTTTAAATCAGCCCCGATCCTGAAGCGAGCTCTGAAGGTGAAGCAGGCCATGATGCAGCTGTACGTGCTGAAGCTGCTGAAGATCCAGACCAAGTACCTGGGACGACAGTGGAGGAAAAGCAACATGAAAACTATGTCTGCTATTTACCAGAAAGTCCGACACAGACTCAACGACGACTGGGCCTATGGGAACGGTGGGTGCTCTGTTTAAGATGTGGAGTTTTTGTATTCAGTTTGATTGGACTCTGTGAATGTTGTTATTAATAATGTAGACAGAGTTACACACATTCAAAACTGGCCTGCTGGGTCCAGGGGGAGAAAGAATGAAGGGGCAGCACAGCAGTTTTTTGTAGCTTCCAGTTTTTATTTTAAATGTTTCTGCTATCGTAATTATATAAAGTGCTTCATTCATCAAATGAAGGGAGGGTTAGTCCAGACATTCTACATTTATAATATGCACATGCACTCTGTGTATGTCTCTATGGGCCCAGAGTAAACCTACACAAACACACATGAACTCCACTCAGAAATAATGATACACGTGAGATAGATTTAAAAGGACTACAAACTGAGCTGTTTAAAACATAAAATTAAACAAAGTAACAGTATGAGCTTTCAAACAAGGGTAGTACTACATTTTGTGGTTGATTTTATGGTTCATGATTTTAAATTTCCCACTCTTAGACCCTGTTTGCACTGAAATGGGATCTAAGGGTGGGTAATGTTGACAAAAATATAAAAAAAAAAATGTTGCTAGAAAATCCTGATAACAATAATCAATATTTTTGGCAAGTCGATAGAAATTTAAAATCATGAACCATAAAATCAACCACAAAATGTAGTACTATATCCTTAAACCCTGTTTACACTGAAACAAATCCGCGTATCACAGTATCAAAGTATTGGAAATTATCTGCATCCACACATGTCGTGTCTGTGTCTACAATTCTTCCTTATTCACACAGCTTTGAGCATATCTGTTTACATTTTATAGAAACGAAACTTAAAACCGCATGGCTAATTTGCATAAATTGAGCGCTCAGAACAGCTTGCTATCATGCGCTGATGCAGTTCAGTTACTGTCGAACTAAAGGACACGACTTAGTGGATTATGTGTGTTCTTTCTGTGACAGAGGGATGTTTTTCTTATGGTGAGTCTGTTTTGTGCTTCTGTCGCGTTGGAGATGGTTCATGTTAAACTTTTCGGAGATTATACATCTGCAGGTCATATGCATAGACCGTATATATATGAATATATTCTAGCCTCTTAGTCTTTTGGCAGTGAATTACTTCATGGCGCATAGACCTACATCACCGTATCAGCGTTTTCAGGCGTCCACTCAGTGCTGAATCTGATCCTGGAGCCTTTTTCAATCGGATTAGTGTGGACGAACACTGCATCCACAATGAAAACGATTCGAATACGTACTAGTGTGGACGTGGCCTTAAATTCACAACTGTAAAGGTGCATTGTGAAACTTTTCTGGTTGAGGGTCCGTCACCTCCTTGTTTTCACAGATGTGTCATTTCTCTGCCTGGAATGTTCCCCAGTATGATATTAAACATCTCTACCTTACATTTATTCAGTTACAGGTGGTTTTATAGCTGAAAATACCTAGAACAACTGTCATTTTGACTGTGAGTGGGATTGACTCTCCACAGATCTGACCTGTAACTTAGTCTAGTTTGGTCTCCATGAAGATAGAAAGCTTTAATAATAAAATTTCCATGGAGGAAAGCATTTGACGGACCCTCCACCAGAAAAGTTACGCAATGCAGCTTTAAAAATGACTGGAGATCTACACAATTCTTGTAATGCACATTTGATTTGACACAATCTTGACAGAGTTCGCTCAAGGCCAGTGCTCTCTACATTAATCACTGCACTGACCCAATTTGACCTTGTAAACACTCTTAAATGAAGTAACCATGGAAGCGTTTTCCCTCATGACGGCCCTAATGACTCTATCCGCCAATTGACCAGCGGACCGGTTCATAGTTAGGCATCATTACTGCAGCATGTGTGTGTCTCTATGAGATTTGTGCATTTGTATGAAATCCAATCCGCCATCCTGCCTCCTGTTACCATGGCGACGGGAGGAGGGGGACTTTTCAGGGACAGCCAGGATTTGTCAGCAGCAGCACCACCACCACCGTAGGGATGGAGCAGGATGGAGGAGGGAAAAAAAAGGTTAAAGAGGCAAGAAAACGTTCAGTTACGATGGACGGAAACAGGGGTCACACTGAACATTATGGTGTAGGAACTGAATTTGCTGTTAATTGTGTGAATAGTGTATTAAAATGACATTTATATTTATTGTGTCTACATTTTGACAGAAAGGTGTGTGTGTGTGCTAATAACTGAGAATAATTGTGTTACCCCTCACCTTGGTAGTTTAATATACTGCAAGTTTGAACCATTATTGATCTAGTGTTTTTTCTTTGCCAGTGTGGAATGTAATAGTAGACTTCAAATGGTACATATAGATAGACAATCCATGTATCATTCGTTTTTTAATATAAAACGAAAAAATAAAATGAAAAAACAACTATTTTCTTCATTATTTGTCTCCAAAACCATAATAAAAAAACAGATAACAATTAGTTTTTCAGTTTCCGACTGTGTTTAAATTAATAATGGAAAAAACAGATATCGGCCGATTCCCGTTTCCGTGACTTAAACTGCGATGCCGGACTTTTACTCCGCATAGGGACTGAACCAGGACTAAACCAAGACAAAACCAGGTCCTGGACCAGACCTGAACCAGACTGGGACTGAGATCAGGACTGAGTCTGGGACCAGACCAGGACTGAGACTGGGACCAGACCGGGACTGAAACCTTGACTGAGACCGGGACCAGACCAGGATTGAAAACAGTTTAGTCCTGTTTTAGTCCTGTTTTAGTCCTATTTTAGTCCTATTTTAGTCCTGTTTTAGTCCTATTTTAGTCCTAGTTCAGTCCTGGTTCAGTCCTGTTTCAGTCCTAGTTCAGTCCTGGTTCAGTCCTGTTTTAGTCCTGTTTCAATCCTGGTTCAGTCCGTATGCGGCTCAAAAATCCAGCATCACAGTTTAAGTCACGGAAACGGGAAACGGTCGTTATCCGTTTTTTACATTATTAATTTAAACACAAAATCAGAAACTGAAAAAACAAATCATTATCCATTTTTTCATTTTGGTTTTGGAGACAAATAATGAAGAAAATTTTAGTTTTTAATTTTCTTATTTTTGATTTTATATTGAAAAATGAATGAACAAATGATACAGACAGTTTTGATTTTTTAAATGTTTTATTTGTAGTTTGTATAAAGAAGTGGACTAAGGGAGTGTCACCCGTAGCATTCGGCTCCAGTCAAATGAAGCTCACACTGAATGAAGCTAGCGATTACAGGGGCATAGGAATTTATTAATGGATTAAATACCAAAATAAAAACACCAGGATCATGTAGAGCAGGTTAATATGAACATTTTAAAACCAAAATGATGAGACTGACTGCAGCAATTACAGAGAGAGGGGCCACAATTTCTCAATTTCTCAATGTAAAAGTCAGTTGGAAACAGAGTCGAAGGAGCTGGAAGTGCCCCCGTGAACACTTTTCATGTGGAACGCAGTGGGTAACAGGTTCGCTATGTCTATTTATATATACAGTCTGTGGTTTAACAGAAACAAAACATGAATGAATACGGGCAAGGGCAGAAAACACACAAAACTGCACTGCAACAGATGGAAATATTTCTAAGTATATCGTCCACAGTGAGGATCATATTTGAATTCATGCATGTGGCAGAGGGCTGTATCAGTGTGATCTTTGGTGTGGCCAATAATAAGCAAATACCTGAAAAAAAAAAAAAAATCTGTACCGTACTACTGTCTCGTCTACTAAATAATCTCTATTTGTAATGCTGTAGTCTCTTTGCTTTGTTTTGTTAAAATACGTGATAAAATATGTGACAAAAAAATGAAATAAACCTATATTGTGAATGGACTGACACTGTCACAAATAATTTTTACAATATTATAATGAAAAAACATAACTGAATTTGTTTTGTTATTATATTTTTCTTGTTGTTTCAGATATCGATGCTCGACCTTGGGACTTCCAGGCGGAGGAGTGCGCTTTGAGAGAGAGCATCGAAAAGTTCAACACCCGACGCTATGACAGGAACAAAAACTGGGACTTTACCCCCGTGGACAACTGTCTCCAGAGCGTCTTGGGTCAGAGGGTGGAGCTGCCCGAAGATTTCCACTACAGCTACGAGATGTGGCTGGAGAGAGAGGTTTTCTCCCAGCCAATCCAGTGGGAGGGGCTGCTGCAGAATCCATAGGAGGAAGAGATAAGGGGGAGAAGGGTAAGGTCAAACAGGGCAGAGAATGATGTTGAAATGCCTTGAAGACCTGTCGTGTGGTGTCCAAGTAAATCAGAAAATATAAGGATCAGCTGAAGATGTTGTGCTGGAAATGTGTACTACAGTGCCAGTTGAAACATTTGGTCAAGGTCCCATATTACGCTATTTTACTGACATTCAAGGTAACAGCTACCTTTTATTTTTTGTTCAGTAGAGATTTGCAGTACCAGGGCTGAAATCCAAATGATTCTAGTCAAGGTGTATGGAGTTTAAAAACACACGGAGCATTTCCTGTATTAGTGTTTTCTGTTTGAGAGGAACTCAGCCTAAATATGCAGGATTTGTGTGTTAAAACATCAATTCATCCATTTTCTTCTGCTTATCCGGAGCTGGGTCGCAGGGGCAGCAGTCTAAGCAGGGACTCCCAGACTTCCTTCATCCCAGACACTTCCTCCAGCTCCTCCGGGGGGACCCCAAGGCTTTCCCAGGCCAGGCGAGAGACATAGGGCCAATCCCATTTCTTATTTCTACTCGTACCACTTGCCCCTTGAAACTAAGCAACAAGGGGTAGGGGTCACATACAATCACATACGTCATCAGTCGTCTCCGTCAGTTTTTACGTAAGAAGATGCGACAAGCTTTTACCAGAAACATGCCGTCTACCGTCTTGCTGGTGATTTGCAAGAAATTCTGTGAAATTGCTCATACCCCGCCATTTGGAGTGTGCCTCTGAAAAATCTTTGTTTGGAGGGGTGTATATCCCTACCACTTTCCCCTACCCCTCTGCCATAATGGTAACTGGGACACCCCTACCCCTACACGTGAACGCGCAAAACGGAGAGGTAGAGGAAAGTGGTGTGGCTAAGGGGTGTAATGAGATTCAGCCATAGTCCCTTCAGCGTGTCCTGGGTCATCCACCGGGCCTCCTCCCGGTGGGGCATCCGGAACAGATGTCCGAGCAATCTCACCTGGCTCCTCTTGACGTGAAGGAGCAGCAGCTGTACTCCAAGCTCCCCCTGTGTGACTGAGCTTTTCACCCTATCTCTAAGGTAGCGCCCAGCCACCCTGCAGAGGAGACTCATTTTGGCCGCTTTTATCCGCAATCTTGCTCTTTCGGTCATTACCCAGAGCTCATGACCATAGGTGAGGGGAGGAACGTAGATTGACCAATAAATCGAGAGCTTCGCCTTTCGACTCAACTCCCTCTTCACCACAACGGTCCGATACGGCGACCACATCACTGCTGACGCTGCACCGATCCGCCTGTCAATCTCATGCTCCATCCTCCCCTCACTCGTGAACAAGACCCCGAGATACTTGAACTCCTCCACTCCACACACTCACTTAACACACCGCCTCAAGTGTGTTAAGCATGCGTAAATGAAATAAAACACAACTCCAGGTACTCCAACATTATTACGTAGATCAGAAAATATTAGTCTGTCTTCATCTCCAAACCTGAAAATGCTCTGATCCACCTTGTGATGTCATGAAGCAGAAGGTGAAGGTGTAAGGAGTTTCAAACAAAGACACAGTGGAGCAATTTTCTGTTTGATAGAAGAATTCAGCCTAAATATGCAGGTTTGAATGAAATAAAAACACAACTCCAGGTATGTTTTTGATGAGGAAACAACATTATAACATAAAAAATAGCGTAATACGGGGCCTTGACTTTCAGAAACTTGCTACTTCTTTCCCCCTATGGATTCAGAACCCAAAATGTCCGATCAAAACGAATGGCGCTTCCTACTTTGAAGATGCACAAGAAGATACAGACTTTTGCTGCGCAGTGCCTATGATACTGTGAATGAAACTGCACACTGGATGTAACAGAGAAAAGCAGAGGTAGCAGACAACACCACACCACAAAGCAGAAGACCTATTCTACTGCCCCAGCTTCAGTTCAATATCAGACACTACTTTTGATGGTGCCGGTATGACTCCTTAAAGACTTTATTTTATTTTCAGTTCATTTTCAGATGAATTATTTTTAAAGAGTTTGACGATGTTCTATCATTTTGGAAGTTTTATACGATGTTGAGGTATGTATTGGCTTGTATTTTTACTGTTCAATTTGAATGTTTTCAGATGCTTTTTCTTAAGGGGGTTGAGTCCTACCACAGGGTCAGAAATAGAAGTTATTTATAAATGAAAATATGTGTAACCAAAAGAGGAACAGTTATGTATGGTCTGCTTGTATGTAGAAATGTATTCCATATATATATATAAACAAGGGTATTTAAAGATGTAATATGCATACATTTAAGGGAAATTACTTTTATAATTTAAAAGAAATTAACTATTTTTAGCCCCTGGTTTATTCATTGGTTTCAGGCAAATTATTCTGACCTGATTTGAAGGATTTTGTGAAGGTTTTCCCAGTTAAAAAGATTTGATTGCGTTATTGCTATAACAGCAGACGATTGTTGTCATGGTGAATCCTTATGCCTGAAATCTATGAATAGTTTTTTAACTACTTTTAAAAGTTTTAAAGCAGACCTATTATGCAAAATTGACTTTTCAGAGCTTTAAACCATGATCGTGTTGGTTCCTATGGAAGATAATTTCTCACTTCGAATCTGAAAAGAGATGTTTGAATTATTTTTATTCAGAATTTTAGTTGCTGAAATTTTAAGTATACTTTTTCAATATGTATCAAATTCAAAATAAAAATGTCAATCTTTTAAATACTCAGCACAGATATTTTCAAGCCCTCACACTCAAAAGTCAAAATTCAGAGTGTAAAATTTGTTGTGAAAAATGTCACCACAAAGACCCAAGATGCAATCGATCCTGTGTGCGTGAGGAGGACAGAGGCTGCTTCCTATTGGCCGTTCTTATCTGTGGGCGGGGCTTACACTTAAGAAATAAAAGAGATGAAGTTTTGTTGAGGTTAATTCTGACCAATCAGATCGCTTTACTGCACCATTTTCTGCTCGTTACTATATTAGATGGAATCACTTTTTTAGCGATTCCTTAGGCCTTGGCATGCAAGTTTTTTTCACTGCACATTTTACACTCTGAATTTTGACTGTTGAATTTGAGGGCTTGAATATATTTGTGCTAAGTATTTAAAAGGTTAAATTTTTATTTTGAATTGTAAACACTTTGAAAATGTACACTTAAAATTTCAGCAACTAAAATTCAGAATAAAAATAATTCAAACATGTTTTTTCAGAGTTAAAAAATTCAAAAACAGAAATTCAATGGCATTTAAAATTCAAAATCTGATGAAACAAATTATCTTCCATAGGTTCCCCTCACAATGTACTCAGTTTGGAGCAATCTTTAATCACTTATTTAATCTCCATTTTCTCGATCAGCTCCTGTCTCCCACTGCTCGGTAGGACTATTTACGTTCTTCAATTTAATCAGTTAATTCTTAATCAATGACACACACAGGATTCGGGGACATCACGGAGTAAATTTGGTTTAAATTAAATAAAAAATCTGTTACATTTTGATCTGCATCTATCCATAGGAGGAGCTGACAACTTCACAGCTCTTTGTTGTAATGATGTTTACGGCAACATCAGCTCCCATTGGGTATCACGGAAGTCAGTGGACTCTTTTTTTTTTTTTTTAGATGAGTATTGCAATATAAAATGTGCTATTTATTTTATTCATAGATTATAACTATACAGTAGACACAAGCACAATAGGTCTTCTTTAAAACATTTTATTTCTAATATATAGTGTATACTAAAAGACAGAGTAAATTTAGTTGGATTTGTGCACCAACTTTTTTCCACAAATCCTGTTTATTGTACCTTTTTAAGTATGAAAATGAGAGTTTCATGGAATAAGCTAGTGTATTGTACTTGTAACAATACCAAAAAATGAAAACAAAAAGACATCAAATGCTACTACATGGTGATTCACTTTAACATCCCCAACAGCACAATACTCTATATGAAGGAATGAGCTTCTCTTGGCCTTTCAATACGCTGCCACACTTGCTTGGAAGAACACAAACGTACAAATCTTTCTTTTAACTACCTAAAAGACAGTTATTTACAAACCTGGGGACTCATTTACAAGTGTTTTCTGAAAAATAATCTCCTTGGAAACACACATGTAAGCACAGAAGAGCATGGACACTGATATAATATAACTGCGGATGCCGTATGGTAGAAAAGATGTCAAGTACTTTCTATACACAGTCACAATAGATATGTCTCAGTGTGTGTTGTGAAAACGTGCATGACCACAGTTTTGTTCATTGTTCACTTTTTTGTATTGGCTTTTTCTGTCAAATAACATTGTGGTTGCTAAATAATTCAAATGATTTTTTTTTCCCCCTACAAAATGATAGCTGTATAGACTCAGGTTAATGGAAATATAAATATAAATATATATAACACGGTACACAGGTTCATCTTATAGCTCCAATATTTTGTGAAACTCAAAAAACACCTCAGCATACTGTCTATAAATCCTGCTCTGTTGTTCACTAGTGCACATGTAGTCTTTATGTTCACTTTTGTAACTTGTGCCAAATTTTAGTGCCATTTTAAATCTTAAAGGTGCACTGCGCAACATTTCTAGTGGAGGATACGCCACCTGCTCATCTCCGTGGAAATACTCTTCGCTTTGTCCAGAATGTTCCACAGCATAGATTAAACCTGCCTATAACAAGCACTAGGCTACTTTACGACTCAGATCTCTGGATCTCTCGTCCCTATTCACAGAAGGAATTGCTGTATTTATGCGCAGTAGAACCAGCTGTAGTGAATAAATGCTTGATGTGCGTTTAATGTCATACCATGGAACATTCCCGGGAAAGCAATAACATCTCCGTGGAGACAAGCAGGTAACGGACTCACCGCCAGAAGTGCACCTTTAAATTCAGCATAACCGCCCTTTACTTCCTCAAAGCCATCCAACCCAAGCTTGCAATACAATAATTTTCTACCTTAAACTGTACAATCAATGAAAATGGTTGTTTCTTGTATCTGATAAAAGGAAATGTTTGGCTTATTGTATGTATGTTAATCTAAGTGTGTGTTTGTAATTTCTTATGTGTCAATGTTAAACACTACTTGCATTGTTCAGGGGTTATGTGCAATTACAGCTCAATGGAGGCATTATACAACTGAATGATAAATGATAAAACTAACGTTGCATATTAAATTGTGTTGAACAACTCTTGGTGTTGTTAAAATTGTAATTACTTCATATTATTTATTCATCCTTTGAATAACTGAAAGACAAAGGTGAGACCATGGTGGCATCGTAGGTGATAAATTATTTCAACTTGGAGAGACTCAGACAGACTAAAAGAGAAAGTATCACAAGTTGTATTGAGTTAGTTTTGGCGCTCAGACTCTGACAGAAGACACTGCAATGAAGGGCATGGGCCTAGACACTGGAAATGGTAGAGGTGAGGATGAGGAGAGTGAAAGGGACGATGAAAGAATGAGAAGCAGAGTGGGTGGTGGAGAGGAGGAGGACAAACCAAAGCACCACGTACCTGCAAAGGAGGTTTAAATTGGGTAAACTGGGCACAGATTGGACAAGGAAGAGGTGTGGTGAGCAGTGGGCAGACGAATTTGGTTTGGTAAACTCTAGAGAGGCAGTGAGGAAGACAGGAGTGAAGTTTGGTCTTTCAGGTTGAATTTATGCTAAGTCAATGTTACAATATTTAGACTTTTTAAAATCCAATGTCAAAATTCTGTAATGGAGGCACCTGGAGGCAAAGTGAAGCAGACATAATATTAGGATAATTTCAGTGATTAATTAATTAAAGGTTTTACGATATTATAACAAAAAATGAACTACATATTTGAATTTCCAAGGTACACACATTAGTTCAGGGGTCTCCAACCTGTAGCTCTCTACCCTCTTCCAAGTAGCTCGCCGAGGAATTTTTGAATGTGCTGAATAAGTAAAAATTGAATTAATTAAATGCCTATTACCATTGTACATTGATGCCTAACTTTGTGCACTAATGAATGGACAATGGTTTATATTTTATAGACAACTAACTACCTCAAGCCTCACTCTCTTTCTTATAATCATCTCAGTTTCTTGTGAGTGCTCTCTGGCATTTTCGTTTTGTAAAAGTGCCAAAAGTGGCACTGGAGGAAAAAGCTTAGAGACCCCTGCATTAGTTCTTTCACTTCTCCATTAAGAAGGATGGAAAAATACAGTTTTCTAATCTCAAAATCATATCTGAGCTTCACAAGGTATAACTATGTTTCAGTCTCAGGCCCAGAGCTGCTTTGCCTTGAAACTCTCCATTCCACACCAGTCCTGATGAATCTGTGAAGGATCCTTGGCCCTCCAGCCTAAAACAATTACATTATTATATTACGACATTTAAAGAAGCAATATGTAACTTTTCGGGTGACCAGTTCCCCAGATTTGGTCTCAGTGCTTTTCATGGAATGTTCTTCAGTATGGCAATAAGTTTATCAATTGTACGGAGACAAGCAAGTGACACTTCAGTTATACGTTAGATCTGTGGAGAGGCAAACCCAGGAAAACACTACCTTACCCTTTTTTCTGAGTATTTTAAGATATAAACCCACCAATTTACGCACAGTTAAAAAAAAAAAAGCATGTCAGACAAGTTTAATACCATGTTGAGGAACTACTGTGGCACTAGAAAAGTTACATGATGAATCTTTTATTTTATTTTGTATAGCAGAATGATCAGTATTTACCTGTTCTGGTTGAAGTGCCCAGTGTAGTGAGAGCCATCTGTAAACGTGTATTTTCCTGTGCCGTGAAACATGCCGTCTTTGAACTCTCCTTCATAGTGCGCTCCAGAGGGAAGCTGCAGAGTCCCTTTACCGTTCATCTGTGAAGGACACGTACAGAGAGATGACCGCATGTAATTGAGGTTAAACAAATACCAAAAGGCACTCACTTTGTCCTCATTCCACTCTCCGCTGTATATGACTCCACTGGCAAACAAGTGCTTCCCCGTCCCACCCCTCACCATGGCTCCAGAAGCAGACTTATAGCACTGCCCCTCTGTAAAAGAAAAGATCACACATATAGGCAAAAGAAGTAATAGGCAAAAGTACTGTAATTAAGTAAAATTTTTGGTATCTGTGCCTTACTAAAAATATTTTAAAGTGGATATATTTTTTTAAACTTATTAGAAAGTATTAAAGTATTTTTTTATTATAGTTTGAGACCTGCAGAAAAGGTTAAGGGCTTGTTAACACATTCATAACATGAGCAAACAAAAATATAACAACAAATATACAAATAAACACAGCTTGAATAAAAAGATCGATTCAATTTCTGTTTCTGTTGAACAAAACTGAGCATAAATCTTCCAATCCAGTCCAATCCAACATTAATTGTATAGAACATTTTATAAAGACAGTTTCCAAAGTACTTCACAAAGCAATATAAAACATTTGACTTAAAAAAAATAAAATAAAAATAAAATAAAATAAATCGGCAGAATTATGTTCTAAGCATGAGGAAACTAATACAATAAATAAATAAAATAATAATAAAATCAATGAAACAAAAATAATAAAATCAACACATAAAAGCACAATAAATAAATAAAATAAATAAATAAAGACACAGAGGACCACACAACTCACAGGGTATTAAAATCCAGACAATAAAAATAGGTCTTAAATCTTTATCAAAATCAATAGCCTACACTTGAAGCTTAATTGGATCAAAAAAAAATTCACAAAATACTTTCACTTTTTACTCTTTAAGTACATTTTTAAACTGGTACTTTAATATTTTTACTTGAGTAGACTTTTTCGTGATCTAAAGCCCTAGATATTAAGTTTAATGCTGCAGCCTACTGTGTTAGATTACAGATAGATTATTGTGTTCTACATTATATATTACTGTTATAATACTCAGAGCAATAAAATCTCCAAGCATAGCAGGTGGCACTGGGATGGACTTCACCAGAAAAGTTACACAGTGCACCTTTAACTTACCATACTTATCTCCATTTGGAAATATGTAGGATACTGTCACATACTGGACCCCTGCTGATACACACAACGAGTTTAACGTTAGACAGGAGCTAAAACATCAGAAAATCAACCTTCCCCACCCTGCACCTACCTGACATTTCGAGCAGAGACAGACTTTGAGTTTTATCTGAAACAATAACACAGTGATGAACTAGCTTTAGTTTTCTTGCTTCCTAAACCGTAACAAGTGGACGCGTAGGGTGTTTCCATGGTAACACTTTCTATTTTTTATTTTTTTTAACAAATGACGTGACTTATGCCTGTGCTATTATAAAAAGTACAATGATAAATAAATAAATACAATTATAATAAAAAAATACGCTATGAAAAAAAAAATCGACAAAGTATTGACCGACCCGGAACTTTTAGTTTTTTGACCAATCAAAGCGATGCGTGTTGCCGGTGGTCATCTGAGCAGCGGTGTCAGGTTAGCTCATAATCTGTAAAGTTTTAAACAGTTTTGAACATAACATTGTGCTTAGATTTAATTCTACCTTTAGTGTCATTTTTGCCTTTTTCTTTAGCGTGCAACCCCATCATATTACTACATAGCCTCCCAGAACAAAAGTAAAAAGGGCTTGTTAGCAGTTAGCATTAAAGCTAAATGGGTTACTAGTTTCATTCCTTCACTCAGCTCTTGTAAACTCGCATCATCGTGGCCACATGAGGTCTTGTATAATGTGTTGATCATGTCGTACTTTGTGTAAGCTCAAGTCTTTCAGGATCCAGCCACGCGTGAACTGAAGTGTTGTGCTTAGTGTGCAGTCTGGTTGCATAATTGTAGCCACCAGCGCCTCTGTGTGTGTGTATTTGTGTGTATGCGTGTGTATTTGTGTGTGTATGTGTGTCAGCCTGCCACCATCGCGCACACACGACCATGCCCACAGCTACGAGCGACCATAAAGTGTGCGAGCGACTAAGCACTGCGGTAGAGATGCACCGGGGCAGTCTGTCTTGCTTGCACCTTTTCTGGACCACTGCCATTTGAAAGCTGCCCGGAATCCCACTTATCTGCATACATTTCTTCTTCACAGATTGTTTACTGCTATGACAAGGCGTTGATTGTCGGTAAGAAGTGTTATCCTTGTGTTAATTTTTGCTGGCAGATATTTTTTGATTATTGAGAATGAATGCATATGCTTTGTTTATGTTGATAAAGGTATGAGTGCCAGGAGAAGAGGAGGGAAGCCAAACAGGGGAGGCGGGAGATTTAACAAGCCAAGAGGTGGTGGAGGAAGTAGAGGAGGAGGCTCAAGAGGTGGAGGAGGGAGCCGGAAAGGGGGAGCCAGTGACTGGGATGATGGAGATGATTTCAGCCTTGATTTTGGACCACCCCATAGTAGCAGGTACTTTTATATAATGACTCTGTTACACTAATAAACTGTTAATATGGGGTTTTGCTTTGAATTGCCCAATTTGATTTAACTGTACTGTATATTGCTTTATTTTATTTTATTTGTTCAGTTATAAACTATTCAGTTATTTCTAATTTAGAGACAGGACATGTCTGTATGTTAAAATGTAATAATAGAAACACAGAGCTGCTGACAACTTTGAGTGTTATTCTTATATTCATATACCAGGATGCAGAAATTATTTGTAACAATTTATTAAAACATTATTTATTGAGAGCAATTTCCCCTTGTTGCTTTAGTCACAGACCTAAACCTGCCAGGGGACGTGGAAAGCCCTTTGATGGAGCTCGAGGAAGGGGAGGAAGAGGAGGAAGAGGAGGAGATGACAGGGACTTCAGAAACAGTCGAGGCAAAGCATTGCCCAGATCTCTGGCAAGAGAGAGACCCAGCCTAAAGCCGAGTGATGGCATTAAGTCTGAGGGGAGCAGTATGCCGCTTCAGAGGATTTTTATGACAAATGAAAACCAGGAACAACTGAAGGAGCTTCTCCGGGAACTCCAGACTCAAGACTTTGAGCCATATGAGTGAGTTAAACGTATATATTTCTGTATGACATTTATTAAAAATCCACATATATTTGCATAGTTTACTTTACTTTAATGCTGCAGTAGAATGGCCAATTTAACATATGCAACTGATATTCTAATCAAATGACCGACCTGTTGGTGATTGTTAAACAGAATCATGGTTTATTTTCTATGAATGTTTTACTTTTAGGGCTCCAACTAACAATTATTTCTTTGCACTTGACATGTTCTATAGTCTGTATAGAATACAGGCCACAATTATTACAACATTTTTACTACATTTGTGGATTAATACTTATAATAAACAATCACAATTACCCATGCAGTAGGAAATTCTAGCATATCTTAAATCTGTAATAGAAAATCCTAAATACATTTAAGTTACAATTTCTTTTCCAGTGATTGTAGTTCAGATTACTCTGGTGATGAAGAGGAGGAGGAAGAGTATGATGAGATGGACCATCGGGAGGAAGGTCAGTTTTGGGCGACTCATGATGAGCCTGTGGACAGGGCAGAAACACCAGAGTACGACTCTCTGTCTGATGAGGAGAGACCACCTCCTGAGCCTGTCATATCCTTGTTTGCCATTGGGAAACTCAGCAGGTAAAACACAAAAGGATCATTATTCTAAAAAATTAAGTATATTTCTGCCATAATACATTAAGAAGTGCAATAAAATGTTACAGAAAATTTCCATATAAAGTATAATATTGAATCTACTCTTGGCTACTGACACAATAAACATAAATCACGGTGAAACTGTTAGAATACAAAAATTGTCATAGAATTTACTTATCAAATCTTTTATTCTACAAAAAATACCCAAACATTCCCCACTAGTGCAACAAAAGGTTGCCCACGATAAATATTGAGCTCCATTAATTACTGTTTCATTGACTGTTTCATTCACCATAGTCGATATTGTAATTATAATGACAGGCCTACTATTGTACAGATTGTAACCTAGACTTTCATGTACAGGTATGGGTTTGACAGAGAGCGCAGCAAAAAGGCCCTGGAGACTCGTGATGGAGAATTTGGTTCCACTTTAGAACAGCTTCTTCAGCAGGTTTTCAGTGAGCGTTTCGGGCAGAAAGCATTATGCCCCGATGACCTGGACAATGTGCCAATGGATGAATGTCTGAGCCAGAGGCAGGAGGAGGCTCTAGCCCTAACTGCCATTTACGGAGAGCGCTTCAGTGAAAAAATTGCCAATGTGGTCTGGACTGTATCCCTTGATTTACCATTTCTATCACAGAAAGCTGAGAATAAACAAAATGGTGAAAAAGTTCATATTCGTGACGTCTGCAGATTTTTCTTGAAAGGGCAAGGCTGTCGCTTTGGGGCAAAATGCAGGTTCAAACACCAGCTTCCTACCAAAGACCCTTTTAAAGATGGTGCCTCTAAAATGACTGGTCCAAGCCAACCCGGCATAAGCAGCTTCTCTCCTCTTGAGTATGAACTGGAGATCCGCTTCCCCAAAGGAAACCGATACCCCTTTCAGGCTCCAGTAGTTGCCTTTAGCACCAATGATGAGTCCGTGGGGGCAGCAGGGAGACTGAGCGTTACAGAGCGGCTCTACGGAGAGGCGCTTTCGGCAGCAAAGAGCAGTGAGCCTGTAGTTTACACTTTAATAACTTTGTGCGAGGATGAAGACACAATGAAGGAGTTACTTGCTGTTACTCATCACAAATACAGCTCCCCACCTCCTGTTTTGACTCCCGCTCCACCCTCTCTCTCTGTGGCAAAGAGCAAAAGTGTGAAAAGCAACGGATCTGAGGAAAGTCGAAGCAGTAGCACCAGCGCCAGGAGAGTGGGACCACCTAACAACTACAAAACCATGGATCCATGTAAGTTCAGGGTAATACGTAATGTGACAATGTAAAAAGCACCAATCTAAAATATTTACTTGTACTTTTAGATAAAGATACTGGGGACACTGAGGAGCTGGATGAGAGGGATGAGGAGGATGAAGAACAGGCTGTTCCGGTGGAAAATGAGAGTTATGTCAATTTGAGAAAGAAGATGGTAAATAAGCACAACCTGAAAATAGACAATCTTCTGCAAGAAAATGGCAAGCTGTGTAAGGACTATCAGAAAAAAACGGTGAGTTGCTGATATGGAAATATTATATATTATATACTATATTGGATTAAACATGTCTGTTTGTCTCAGAGCTCCAGAAGATTCAGGTCGATGCTGGAGCAAAGGAGGAACCTTCCCGCATGGCAGGAAAAAGACACAATCCTTGCTATGCTCGAAGGATGTCAGGTGCTTGTGGTCAGTGGAATGACTGGGTGAGTTTCACACACTAAAACTTTTAGATCATTTCATGCGGCTTCTGTCCAAATGTATTTTCTTTTATTAAAGTTGTTAAATGTTTGCAGGTGTGGTAAGACCACCCAGATCCCCCAGTTTATCCTGGATGCCTCTTTAAGAGGACCTGCAGGCCAGGTCGCCAACATCATCTGCACCCAACCACGCAGAATCTCTGCCATTTCAGTGGCACAGAGAGTGGCTCAGGAACGGGCTGAGTCCCTGGGCAAGTCAGTGGGCTACCAGATCCGCCTGGAGAGTGTCCGAGTATGTTCATCTGATCTGATGATTCTCCTGTAAACCAAACAAACACTAAACATTATGTAGTTTACTCTTTACTCTTTTCTTCTTTAAGTCGTCCTCCACCAGGCTCCTGTACTGCACTACAGGTGTGTTACTAAGGAGACTGGAAGGTGAGGCAGATCTCACAGGGGTCACACACGTCATAGTGGACGAGGTGCATGAACGAACAGAGGAAAGGTAACATATTAAAATGAAAATATAATTTGTCCTGTGAAATGTTCACAGTTCTAATTAATTCTTTTGTTAATGTTTAGTGACTTTCTACTTTTGGTGCTCAAAGACTTAATCGTTCAGAGACCAGACTTAAAGATAATTTTGATGAGTGCCACTCTTAATGCTAATCTCTTCTCTGAATATTTCTACAACTGCCCCACTGTCCATATACCAGGTTTGAAAGTAAACTTGTTTATTAGATTAGATAATTAAAATACAAATCTGACATAATCATTTTGTTCCCAGGTCGTACTTTTCCAGTTGACCAGTTCTTTCTGGAAGATGCAATTGATAAAACAGGGTGATTACACTATTCATTATTTG